GGTGGAGGGGGAAGGGTATCCAGGGTGCAAGGGCCCGCGGAGCAAGCGCTTGCGGAGTTTCAGGCTTCCTCTCCTCCTCTTCCTCCTCTGGCAGGTTTGGCACTAAGGATTTCTGCGACGCCCAATGCGACTTCCTTCACAAGATGCATTTCCACTGCGTGGTGGAAGAGTGCGGTGCGCTCTTCAGCACCGTGGATGGAGCTGTGAAGCACGCCAAGTAAGTCCCGGGCGTCGCTTCCCTCGCGGCGGCTCCGTATGTGTGCGTGCGCGTGCTTTTTAAATCCTTTCCGGCCTCTGAGAAGGAAGAACGGAGGTGGCAGAGACGGTCACAGGCAGCAGGATCTGTGTGTTGGTTTAAGGAAATGTATACGGACGCCCTTTCGCTCTCAGTCATGGAAATAAAAACTCAATATACACGAACAGTAAACAAAGACGGAACCATTTTTTTGCCCCAATTCTGCCAGGTGGGAGGCATCGGTACTGGCCTGCCTTGACCCAGACAAACCCCTGGCGCGGCTCCTTCCTTGTAAGCATTTACGCTGAAAGAGCCACCCCTCCGCTTCAGTCACCTCTCCGACCGAACTTCAGCGATCTCTTGGTCTCAGTCTTCACACCCGTGAAATGGGAACGCGAGCACCAGGCCAACAACAAAGGGCGGCTTCGTTCCATCGTGGGTGCAGGCAATGCGTTAGACAGGAACGCGGCGATATTCTCTCAGCCCGGCTTCCTGGATGGAGGATATCTAACGAAGAATTTTTCCGTGGCTGGCGTGTGATTTGGGGTTGTCGGGTGGACACACCCGTGGATCCATCTTGGGTTTTGTCACACTGACTTCCGGTGGTCTTTGTGAACTGCCGTTCCTGATTGGAGCACTAAACAAATATGAGTGTGTGTGTGTAGATGAGAGGTCCCCAAACTTGGCAACTTTTAAGACTTGTAGACTTCAACTTCCAGAATTCTTGGAGTTAAAGTCTACAAGTCTCAAAGTTGTCAAGTTTGGGGACCCCCGGTGTAGATCCAGGAGTTTTGGGCAGCCCCCTAAATTGGCAGGTGAAGCTGAGGCTCCCTGAGATGAATGTCACCCTGTAGGTCATAAAGGCATTTTTTAATTTCTGTGAAGCTGCCCAGAATCCGTCTCAGGAATTCGCCAGAAGCACCCCTGTTTAGAAACAAGCAGGAGACCACTAAGCGATGCCTAAACAGGGCGACTGAATGAGCTGCTCTAGCTGTCCGCGTCTATGGCTGATGGATCTCTCTCCGTCTCTCTCTCTCTCTCTCTCTTTCCTCGCTCTTCTCTGTAGTTTCCACTTCCGAACAGAAGGAGGCGCCACGAAGGGAACCTCGGAGCACACCTTCCCGACTCCAGCAGAGAACAAGACCGCCATCCCCCCTTCCTCTCCATCCGCCACGTCCGCCCTTCTGGCCACTGCCTCGGCCACGGAGGGGCCCACCGCGTGTCCGGCTAGTGTGCCGTCCGCTCCCACGCTCCTGGCCTGGAAACAGCTGGCTTCTACCATGTCTCAGCTTCCCGTCTCGGGGCCCGGGCTGGCCACCTCCCCGATGGCCACCACTTCCCTGGAGAACGCCAAGCCACAGGTCAAGCCAGGCTTCCTCCAGTTCCAAGAGAAGTGAGTGGCTCTTTTGGACGGACGATGTTGGGATCCAGGGGTTGGTTGACCTGGGCTCGAGGTGTCCCTTTGGCCACTGGGATCCCCCCAACTGGCTAGGGTGCTCCGGGAGGGGAAGCCGGCAACCGTCTGTTCTGACCAAACTCCCCAAACACGACAAACCCTCTGAAGTGAACTCAAAAGATTCCTTTATTAGGAGTAGCGGCAAAAAAATTCTCTCTCAGGATAACAAATCTGTCCATCCGGAAGATAAATAATTGTCTCCCACATCTATTCATCTCTGCCCCCTGCCTTTTATCCCCAGAGTCTGGTGGGGCTTCACTAGCGGCGGTAGCTATTCCTTCCCAAGGACCGGCCCATAGATTTCCACTGCTCTCCTCTCCTCTCCACTGCTTTCTGTGCATCCACAGTCAGGCACTGGACCCGGCTGTTCCTCCTCTTCCTCATCAGCCACCTCCAGGCCTGGGAGTCTCCATCTGAGGGCTGACGGACGGCCCAGGCTCTGCCTTTGTCCCTCTGCCAGGTCCATTCCCTCTTCCCCCTCAGGGCTCCCAGGTTGCCTTGATGCTAACCCCACGCCTCCTCTTCCTCCTCCTCCTCCTCCTCTGATTTGTCTGCTGGAGGAGCCATCAGCCGACAGGCCACGACACCGTGCCTGTTAGCCTCGAAGGGCTCATTTTGGGTCTCTCCTCCAGCGATCCTTGCCTGGCCACGGACTGCAAGTACGCCAACAAATTCCACTTCCACTGTCTCTTTGGGAACTGCAAATACGTGTGCAAAACCTCGGGGAAGGCCGAGTCCCACTGCCTCGACCACATCAACCCCAACAACAACCTGGTGAACGTGCGGGATCAGTTCGCTTATTACTCCCTGCAGTGTCTCTGCCCAAACCAGGTAAGCCCCCCCCACGGAGGGTCCCGGGAGAGAAAGAACAGGAGGGGCTGGGATGCAGGATCTCCTGGAACACGGGGGCCTGGAGATGGGGGGAGGGGCTTATTTCACAAGCCTGACCCTCCCTCCCTCCCTTCCTCTCCTGCCTGCAGCACTGTGAGTTCCGCATGCGGGGGCATTACCACTGCCTTCGCCCCGGCTGCTTCTTCGTGACCAACATCACCACCAAGCTGCCGTGGCATGTGAAGAAGCACGAGAAGGCTGAGCGGAGAGCCGCCAACGGTTTCAAGTACTTCACCAAGCGGGAAGAATGCGGCAGGCTGGGTAAGCGGACGGGACGGGACGGGACAGACACCCATCGATGAGCCACCGCTCGCTCGCCTTCCCTTCCAGCTTTTCCTTCGCGCAGCTTAAGCAGACCCGCTGGGTTTCCCCCCGCAACTTCTCGCTCTCAGGTTGCAAGCAATGCAGGCGTCATAAAACAAACTCGATTCCTCAAAGGCTTCATTGTATTCTAGTTTAGCCTGAATTTAGTTTGGTGGTGGAATCGTTACGAGTTCAGCCGGACGCTCGTTTTATTCAACTTGAAGTCGTCCCTTGGATCAGCTGCTCCTCCTCCTTCCCCGATAAGCAGCTGGAGCTCAAATATTAAGTATCCCGGGCTGTGACGCCGGGCAAGGCCGAGCCCGCCAGCCTGCCTTTCCTTCTGGACTGGGGCACAAACCCTTTCTTGGACCCCGTTGGCCATCGCATCCCGAGGATGGAGAAGAGAAAAGTAGGAAACCGCTCCGCCGTTCTTTGCTAGTCCTTTGTGCCGAGAGCCCGGTTTTCACAGCGAGGCTCACCCGGGACATCCTAGAATAGAAATGTATTGTTGTCCCGGGATTCCCCAGGTGGCCCTGCCTTTGACTTGGGCTTCTGCTGGCAGTGAGGGCGACCCTGCCAACTCCCCGGCGAAGCAGAGGCACATCAAAGCGCCCAACATTGCATAGAGGCAGCGGGTGTGGCTGGCAGTTGCGTTGGCCGGTCATAAAGGCGGGGCCAGGCCTCCCCCTCCTGCCCCAGTTCACTCCAAGTTTTCTCCTGCAAGGGAAAAGGAGACAGCTCATCAGGGGAGGCTCAGAGGGACCCCAAATCTTCCTTTAACCTGCCACTTCTAGATACCGCAGGGTTCCGGAAGGATGGGGTGCCCTTCGCACGCCTGGCATCCTTGCCCCCCTTCTAAACCCCACTCAAGGCTGCGGATCAGGGTTAGGATTCAAACATGTTGACGACCGGTTCTGTGGGCGTGGCTCGGTGGGCGTGGCAGGGGAAGGCTACTGCAAAATCCCCCTTCCCTCCCCCTCCCCATTGACCTGCTTTCCAGCTCCGTTCTCCTGGGCAGGGCAACCGAAGGAAACCCAGCCGATCAGCTGGGACTCGATGGGAGGCAGAGAAGAGATACGGGGTTGGCGGGTTCTCTGAACGACTCAAAATTTCCACTCCTGGTTCTCCAGAACCGGCTGAAGGCCACCTCTGGTGGGGATGGGACACGGGTTGTGCGCGAAAGCACCCCAGATGATTCAAAAGGAGAGGAGAAGTGGAAGAAAAAGGGCTACTCCATTTTGTATTTCCCCCCCAAAAAACAACCCTTGGTGGTGTTGTTTTTTCTTTTGAAAACGTTTGGCTTCTCCTGCAAGAAGCTCCTTCAGTTTTTTTCTGGGGAAAACCAAAACCGAAACGAAAGAAAAGTCCGTTGGCCTTTTGGGAAAAGGAGCTTTGGGGCAACCCTGACTTTGGATGACTTGAGTGTCTGCACGTAGACTCCCATTTTGTCCTTCGTCAAGCATTTTAGCCCTGGGGATGATCCCAAGGCACAGCTTGTAACCGGGGCAACAGGACAACAAGGCCCTGGGCCAGCCCTTACCTGGTTCCTGGCTCGGGAAGGCCAAGGGGCTTGGTGGTTGGCTGCCACTGTCCGGCACATCGCCGGGCCACGCAAAACTAGCCAAGGATACCCGACCCTTGGCGGCCCCAGCGACGAGCCAGCCTGAGCTCACCTGCCTGCTGCCAATCATCTTGGACAGAGCAGAGAGCAAGAAGGATGCCAGGTTTGGGGGGGGGTGTAACCAGGGCTGGAGGGAGGGAGGGGGCATTGTGTGTGGGGGGTGGGAGGAGGAAAGGATCTCCAGAAATGCCAACCGGGCGATGCCCTTCCGGTGGCAAAGCTCAGTTGGCAGGCTAGCTTGTAAACAGACCTGCGGTCAAGCGTGGCAGGAGAGCCCTCCCTGGCTGGCAGAGCCCATGGCTTCTGCATCAATTAATTCATCTCATTGCCCCCCAAAATACACCCCCAAGTCCATCAACTATTTGGGGTCGGGGGGGGGGGAACCACAGGGGCCTTTTATGCCCGCCTTTTCCCTGGCAGGTTACATTTCGAAGCAGCTCCGGCTTTCGGGTGGGCTATGATAGAGCTTGTCGTGGGGTGGGAAGAGGAGGCTGTGGGGGGGGGGGACACGGGGGGGACACAGACGGCTGGTGCCTGTTTTTTAACCTCCGCTGCTTTTTAATTGATGGCTTTATTATGCCGCTTCTGACGAGATGTATATGGATTTTGGATTTTATTTGTGTTTTCATTGTATGTCATGCTGAGAGAGTATTTGCTATAAGGCAACTAATAAATCTTGGAAATAATTAAATAAAAGTTATAGCAGGCAGCATCCAAGAGGGCCTCTTTCTCTCTTTCTCTCTCTCCCCCCCTCCCTCCCTCTCTCCCTCCTTCTCTCTCTCTCTCTCTCTCGTGGGAAAAGAAGAAATGCCACTTTTTAAGACGGCCCCTGGCATCGGTAATTTTCATAAATTTAAAACGGCTTTCCAATTAAACCCTTTAAAAAACTGATCCGTTTTAAATTGTCCAACCTTGCCAATTAATAAATTCAATGCAGCGGGTTTGACTTCGGTCGTTCGGTAAGTCATTTGAGTTATCTCAGAAGTGTCCCTCTCGGTTGACCTTCGCGCCCACCGCAAAGGAGACAGGCCGCGAGTGTGTGTGTGTGTGTGTGTGTGTGTGTGTGTGTGTGTGTGAGCGGGTGGAGACACACATGTCGCTCAGCCTGGGTCCATCTAGGGCTGGATCCCAGGTCGATCTTCCTTTCAGGGATCTCCCTGCTTTGATTTTCTCTTGCGAGGTGGGGGAGGCATCCGTCTTTGCCCCCTTCGGATGTTGGTGCAACCGTGGGGAGGCAAATTCTCAGGAGGGGAAAAGAGTTTCATTCCCAAATTGTGGAAATACCAGGTCCCAGGAAATACCAGCTGATCGTCTGGGTCTCCTTGGGTCGCCCTGCCCAGGAGAACGGAGCTGGAAAGCAGGTTGGGGGGGGTGGGGAGGGGTTTTAGTAGTTGTCATAAAAAGGGGGGGGAAAGCGAAAGTACATTCCAACTCTTCTCTTTAAAAGTTTGTAACTAAACTACCAGAGCTTTTGCCCATGAATATACTTAATTGGAGAACATGATTGATGACACCCAGCCTGTGAGCGTGCTTAGTTAGAGAATCTGGTGTATGAGACACCCAGGGGGGAGGGGAGAAACAGGGTCACAGGGGACTGTAAATGACGTATTGCCAGAGTCGGCTTCCTACAGGGCCGGGCCATTACATCGCCTCTAATAAATCCTTTGAAGTTTTTTGAAGTTTGGCTCGAGAATCATGATTCAATTAGGGCGACTGCTGGCATCCTGACAGAATGGAGATTTTGCAGTAACCTTCCCCTGCCCTGCACACCAAGCCACGCCCACAAGAACTGGTAGTAAAAGAACATTTTTGGAACCCCGCCACTTTGACCCCGTCTGCTCCCCACTCCCAAGACGTTGGCTGCCATGATTGTGCGACGTGTAAATCTTTTCCCCTCCCTTCCAGGCTGCAAATACAACCAGGTCAACAGCCACTTCCACTGCATCCGCGAGGGCTGCCAGTTCTCCTTTCTGCTGAAGCATCAGATGACGTCCCACGCCCGGAAGCACATGAGGCGGATGCTGGGGAAGAACTTTGACCGCGTTCCCACTCAGGTGACTCTCCCGGAGGATTTGCTCCTCCGTCCCATGGCTTCGGGGTTTTCCGGGACAGCAGTTGGAAGCAGGAAAGCCTCGGCTGTGTGGGCCATCCAGCTCCGGCTGCCCCCGGCTTTCCACCAGCGGCTGCCCCCCCAAATTGCCCTCTAGGCCTCCTGACCCGCGTTCGAGGGGGTGGGTAGGACCAGGAGCGGCTTCTCATGTAGCGGTGAAACCTGCCAGGATCCCAGAAAACGGCTTTTGGAGGGCAGTGGACACGAGGGGTGAAGTGCTCCCCCCCAACAAAGTCCCCCATGCCTGGACCCCAACATAAGTTCTGGTTTTAACGAAATCAAATTCAATTAGAGCTCAAGAAATGAAACGTGGCTTAATGGGATTACCACCCGCGTGCGTTTACTGTCTTTTCCTTTGTGGGATATTAAAAGTCACAATTCCTCAGCGGTTTCTCACAGGCCTCTGGAGGGGCTAATACACAACCCTACTCCGAATTTCAGGAGTGCAACACAGCTCTTGGGCTTCAGGCTAAAGCTCAGGATTCTTGCTACATACTCAGCTTCTTTCCTGCATGGAAAGGGCTGCTTTTGCAGTGTAAAGGGCTGTGCAGCATCTCCTGTCTCTGTTGCTGTCTCAGTCTCTCTCTGTCTCTCTCTCTGTCTCTCGGACTGTGTCTGTCTCTCTCCCCTCCTCTCTCTCTCTCTTGGACTCTTTGTCTCGGGCTCTCTCGGGCTCTGTTTCTTTCTCTCTCCCTCTCTCTCTCTGACTGTCTCTCTCTCTCTTGGACTCTCTGTCTCTCTTTCTCGGGCTCTGTGTCTCTCTCTCTCTCACTCTCTTGGACTCTGTCTCTGTCTTTCTTGGGCTCTGTCTCTCTCTCTCTCTCTCTCTGACTGTTTCTGTCTCTCTCTCTCTCCCTGTGTCTCTCTCTCTCTTGGACTGTCTCTCTCTGTCTCTGTCTCTCTCTCGGACTCTCTGTCTCTCTCGGACTGTGTCTGTCTATCTCTCTCTCTCTTGGACTTTCTGTCTATCTCTCTCTCTGTCTCTCGGACTGTCTTTGTCTCTGGTCTTTGTCTCTCTCTCTCTCACACACACACACACACCATGCAGGGCAGGAGGTTAGGATCCACCTAATGAGAGGAAGGAATGCCTGCGGCTCCTTTGCTTTCAGGAAGAGAGGCAGAAAGCAGCCAGATCCCCCACCACCACCAAAGTCACCCCTGCCCCTTCCGTTGTCTTGCTGCAGGTGGTGGGCCACACTGCTAGGAAGGACAGCCTCCCACAAGTAAGCAGCCTGGCCCCCAGCCCGGCTTCATCAGGGAATCCTGCCTCCTTTCAGGGAGCCCCCAGCTTGATGGACCCCGAGACGGAGGAGTACCTGGATTACACGGGATGCAGCCCTGGCGCCATCTCCTCAGAGTCATCGAACATGGACCGCAGCTGCTCCAGCACCCCGGTGGGCAACGAGAGCACCTCAGCAGGTGAGTGTCCTACTGCACGCAAAACACACACACACAAAACGCACACACACACACACATACAGCGCCCCACCTCTGGGCTGGGACTCTGCGAGAGGCTGTGCCCTCTCTGGGTCAGGCGGTCTTCTTTGTCAAACATGGAGGGCTCTTGAGTGGCCTCCCACGTGGACTCTCTCGAGGTGGGACGAGGGATTTGTGGAGGAGACACGCCAGGTTGCCTCTGAGGGCTCGGAAAAGCCAAGCTGGGCCCCCGAAGAGGCTGCCAGGGACGGAAAGTCGATGCCTTTGACTGAAAATCTCCAGCGTTGCATTGATTAACATTCACCTCCAATGAATCACTCGCAAAAGAGGCCGATGGCCCCGAGAGGCGGCTGAAGGACCTGACCTTCTGGGAGGCGGTTGGAGTGTCCATCACCACCACCCCTATCCAGGGAATGCCACGGGCCTCCCCGGATGAGCCAGGCCCAAGAAGCTGCCGGTCCTTCCCTGACTTCCCATTTGACCATTCACACACACATACACAGCCCTCTTGTCTCCCTGGAAGACCTGCTGCCTGCCTGCCCCGGTTGGGGTGGTCCAGCTGCCCTCATGGAGACCCTCTCTCTGCTGCTCTGCTGCTGTGCTGCTGCTACTCATCACCCTTCTCCATCTTCTCCTCTGCTCTGGTTCTGTCATCGTACCTGTGAACTTGTCCTCCATTTTTCATCGTGTGGCTTACACTTCTCAGGGGGTCTTATTTTGGGGGGCTGTTTCCTTTTTTTTTCCTCTGGTGGTTTTTCTTTTCCTCCTATTTTTTTCTTTCCACGTTTCTCCAGGCTGCCTGGCTGCTCTTCCTCCTCCTCCTCCTGCCGCTGCTGGTGACGATGTTAGCCACAATGCACCTCCTCCACCATCTCTGCCTCCCTCTTTCTCACAAGCCCTGCTCAGATCTCCCCTCCCCTCCCTGCCCTACCTCTTCTCTCCATCGTGTGTCTCATACTCTCTGCTAAGTGCCACCCTGGGATCCAGCAGGGGCATTGCCTTGCCCACCGCCAGCTCGACAGGGCTCTCACCCATCCTTGCCAGTCCAGTCAAAAGCGACGTCCCGCTAGTGCAGGATGCAGCAGGTAATCCGATCTCCGCTTTTTCGTAGCACTGCTCCCAATATCCCTCTCCCCCAGCATCATCGTGTCAGGGTTCCAGCAATTGCCCTAATTAAGGTACGATCCCTGAGCCAAACTTCAAAAGAATTCAAAAGATTTATTAGGAGCAACAGGTCCGGCACTAACCCATATGAAGCCAACTCCGAGACACGTGTTTTACTATCACCTATGACTTTGTTTCCCCCCCCGAGTGTGTCATATATCAGATTCTCCAAACATGTTCCCAGGGCTGGGTGTCATCAATCACATTCTCCAATGAAGGATTTTCACCGGCAGAAGATCCGATAGCCTAGGCTACGATCTCCACAAGATAAGCGTGGAATGTACTTCTGGCCTTCATCGGCCGCACCGCTCCCTCAGGCCTTTCCCCCCTGCCTTCTTACGGCAACTTGGAAACAGGCATAGGAATGATTTACGAGTTGACACATTGGCCAGTTGTCGATAGACGTGAGGCTCTAAAAATGGCCAGCCTGTCTGTGGTATTTCCAAAATGGCAGTGGAGTAGGAAGCAGCTCTTCAAAACCTTACAAAAGGTTAGTTGAGTTGGGACCATCCAGGTCTCAGGAGGACTTCCATTCCAATAGAGGAGAATATTTGTTGCTCAGGGTTCAAACAAGACCTCCTTGGTTCTCTCTTAAGCTTGCTTGTTTTCTTGCAGACATTTCATGACCCAACTAGGTAGTATCATCAGTGCTAGTTCCAAAGGGAAAGAAAAGACAGGGAGGGAGGGAGGGAAAGAAGGAAGGAAGAGAAGAAAGAAAGAGAGAGAGAGAGAAAGAGAGGAAGGGAGGAAAGGAAGGAAGGAAGGAAGGAAGGAAGGAGAGAAAGAAAAGAAAGAAAAAGAAAGAAAGAAAGAAAGAAAGAAAGAAAGAAAGAAAGAAAGAAAGAAAGAAAGAAAGAAAGAAAGAAAGAAAGAATATTTGTAGCTCAGGGTTGACATGAGGAGTCCTTGGTGCTCCTTCTTGCAGATGTTTCATTACCCAACTAGCAACATCATCAGTGTTAGGAGGGAAAGGAGTTTACACTCATTTTATATTCTACTAGCACTGAACATGTTACTAGTTAGGGTCATGAAATGTGTGGAAGAAAACAAGCCAGCTCAGAGAGCCCCGAGGACCCCTGACTCCCATCCCGTAGGGGAGCCCCCCCTCCTGGGTCTCGCAAGACCACTCCGCTTAGAGATGGGACTTGGAGTGTGCTCTACCACAACCTGGCAATTAAAGCAAAAGTCCACATCACCCAACACGAGAGGGGTCTGGAAGAAAAGGGGAGTTGGCGTCTCCACAATGCCTTTATTGCCTTTTGCCTTTATTCCTCAGGGAACACCATCACCATGCCAACGGCTGCGGGGGCCAAGAAGCGCTTCTGGATCATTGAGGACATGTCCCCCTTTGGCAAGCGCCGCAAAACCCCCTCCTCCCGCAAGATGCTGGACGAGGGGATGATGCTGGAGGGCTTTCGGCGCTACGACCTGTACGAGGACTGCAAAGACGCCAACTGCCAGTTCTCCCTCAAGGTCACGCACTACCACTGCACCCGGGAGAACTGCGGGTACAAATTCTGCGGGCGCACCCACATGTACAAGCACGCCCAGCATCACGACCGGGTGGACAACCTGGTGCTGGACGACTTCAAGCGCTTCAAGTCCTCCCTCAGCTGCCACTTCCCCGACTGCCAGTTCTCCGGCAACAGCACGCACTTCCACTGCCTGCGCTGCGGTTTCCGCTGCACCGACAGCACCAAAGTGACGGCCCACCGCAAGCACCACGGCAAGCAGGACGTGATCAGCGCCGCCGGCTTCTGCCAGTTCAGCTCCAGCGTGGACTGCGAAGTGCCCGAGTGCAAATACAAACTCAAGTGCTCGCACTTCCACTGCACCTACCCCGGGTGCAAGCACACCGTGGTGGGCATGTCGCAGATGGACTCGCACAAGCGCAAGCACGAGAAGCAGGAGCGGGGGGAGCTGCCGGCCATCTCTCCGGGGCCCGAGGGTCTCCCCGCCACCCCCATGGAGTACGAGGCCCAGAGCGCTTCTGTCAACCTGGACAGCTCCCTCAACCTGAGCACAGACGCCAAGAGCTCCCTCTTCTTCCTGCAGAACGCAGCAGGCGTGGGGCTCAACGACTCCATGGACCTCAGCCAGAAGCCCCTCGGGGACACAGGCAGCCTCCCTTCCGCCCCGGCAGAGAGCCAGGCCCCTGCCGCCAGCAAGCTCTTCCTGGCCAGCTGCGGCAACGTGGAAGAAGAGGATGACTCCTCCCACGATGACGATGATGAAGAGGAGGAAATGAACGAGGAGGAGGAGGACGAGGATGAGGAGGAGGACGACGACGAAGAGGAGGAGGACGAGGACGAGGAGGAAGAGGATCTGAACACCGATTCGGAAGAGTCGCTCCCCGACGCGGAGGGCCTGCCTGCAAAAGACATTAGTGAACTGCAGGAGGCCGTTTCCTCCACCGCGGATCCCAGTGACACTTCCATGCCTTCCGGCGAGCCAGCCTCAGCTCCTTAAGGAGCAGCCACACAGCAGCGGTGGGCCTGGGGGGGTTTGGCCTTGGCGAGCGGAGAAAGCAAAAAAAAACAAAAAACACAAAACCACACAAAACAAAACTGCATGAACAGGAAACCGTGCTGTGTTGAGAGGGGAGAGGCAAGAACGAATGCTAGAATGGCCAGCAAGCAGCAAAACGGACTCCATCCCAGAAGGTGCGCGAGAGGCGGAGGGAAGCACTGATCTCTCGGACCACACGCGACACGGAGACACGATGGAGCCGGAGAGGCGGAAGCAGCAGCAGCGGCAGCAGCGGCAGGAGCAACATCCTGGGGATAGGGTGGGCTGGGGTGGGGGCAGCAGGAGGACCCATCTGTTGGGGTGCACATGTTTACAGGGGGGGGCAGGAGGAGGAGCACGGTGGTCCCGTGATGCAGGCGGACTGACCCTCCCGCTTCTGGATGGATGTGCTCCCCGTGGCAGGAAGCGGCCTGCCCCTTCCGAGCCCACTTCGCTCCGCGGAGGCGGGAAGGCGGGACGGGTTTTTATTTTAACCCTTCGACTCCAGTGTGTGTTCATTTGTCCTCTAATACTCCTCCCATTCTCAGGGAGACGGGGGTGGGGGGGGGGGGGGGGGGGGGAGGCCAGTAGCATGGGGGGGGGTACGAGGAGGGACGAGAGCGTTAAGTCATACAAAATATAGATATATCTATATATCTATAGATGTAGATATAGATATATATATAGCGGCAAAGCCGGATTAGGTTCTGCTAAGCTGCAAAGCCGAGTCCTTTTGCCACCGGGGGTTGGGGTGGGGAATTGGGGGAATGGGGCGGGTTCCGGTATCACTTATATTCCTATTCCTTTCTCCCCCTTTTCTCCGGAGCGTCACACGAGCAGGAGAAACGGGAGTCTCAGGCAGCTGGGAATGCTTGGAACGGGGGTATTTATTATCAGTTTTGTTTGTTTGTTTTTGGAAAGAAAAGCAAAAAAAGAAAAAAAAACACCCCAAGAGGTGTGGGGGAGGGAAAAGACGAGACGCATCGATCCAGGCTGGGAATGAAATATCAGTCGTAGTAATAATGAGGATGATAATAATAAGAAGAAAAAGTTACTAATTTTTCTAAGGAGAAGAAGGAACTGCTTTATAATGTCAAGGCTCTCCCTGAAGCTGGAGGTCTCCTTCTGGTGGAGCTCTGGCTTTTTTTTTTTAGGGGAGGGGGAGGTCATTGAAGGAAAGGAGGAGCCGCTCTAAGTGGTAGGTGGGGAGAAAACAGAGCCAAGGGCTGAGCCTGGAACTCCAGCCTGCAGACAGGGAGAAGAGCTAAACCACAGGCTCCCCCAGTGACTTGAAGGGCTTTCAAGCACCAGGACCCTTGGCTCCGTTGCAGGAGACCCCGGCCCGTTTCGGCGTCTTCCCCTGAAGGCCTCAGCCACGGCAGGGCGACCTCTGGCTTGCACTTCTGGACCCGTCTGGGTCTAGCACTTATAAAGTCTTCCCAGTCCAGAATTGGGAATTGGGAAGACCAAGCGTCCCATCCCCCCACCCCCGTCAGCCTGCTCTCGAAACACCGGGGGGCGGGGTGGGTGGGGGGAGAAAGTCCCGGCCGAGGAGTCCTGCTCAAGCCTCCCAGAAGGGAACAGATCCTGGCTTTGCCTCGGGTGCAAATGGAAAGACCTCGGAGGCAGGGGTGGGATTCTGCCGGTTCAACCTGGTTCGAGCGATCCGGTTCTCTCCGAAGATCGGCTAGCAGTGAACGGGTTCGTTCAGAAGATCCTGCGGGCCCCTGCACTGTACTGACCCTTTATCTCGTCTCAGCTGATCAGCCGAAGCGCACGGCCCACCGGAAACCGGTTGTTATACCGGCAGCGTCCCACTCTTGCTTGGAGGTCTTTCTCTTCCAATACTTGACAGCTGAGGAGGGGTTTTGTGTCCGCGGTGGCCCCTGCTCTTCCCGTGTCTTGTGCGGTTGGGCTGCAAAAAAAAAAAAGGAAAAGGGAAGGAAAAGAGGTGGGGGTAAAGGAAAACCAGAAATCACAAAAGGGTCCCTTCCCAGTGCAAAGAAGGAGAATGTAATCCGGGAACTTTCAGTTAAATTTAAGGCTAGCAAGGAAGGAAAAAGAATGGCCAAAACCCCGTTTCAGGTGTCCCAGAGAAAATGGTGGCCGTGATGTATTTCTCCTTTGTAAAAGTTGCTATTAGATATATATATATATTGAATAGAGAGAGAGAGAGAAAAGAATTGGAGAGTTATAGCTAGAACAACGAGGATCCCTTCAGATGACACTCCCGAGTATCTGGCGGGAAGTTGGCTTGAGAACCAGGCCTTTGGTTGCCTTCAAGAACTCCTGCCGCCATCCGTGTTCTCGAGAGGGCAAAAGAGATCCACCTTCCCGTGGAGCGCTCAAATCTCTTCAGAATTTCGATTTGGCAGGCCTTGAAAGAAACCAAGAGATTTGGTCATAGAGTCCGATGAGGTGGCCAACCCCCCATCCACCCCGTGGATAGTTTATTGTGTGGCTGGTCAAGACAACGCATGAGGGCAGGGGATCCCCAAACGTGGCCCCTTTAAGACTCGGAAGCCGTGCTGGCTGAGGAATTCTGGGAGTTGAAGTCCACAAGTCTTAAAATTGGCCACGGTTTGGGAAATCCCTTGCACCAGATTGGCATGAACCATTTTGGGGGAGAGGAGAGGGCAACCCTTCCCAGTTCTGACTTGCTCACGAAAGGGCGGCCTGCCAAAAGTCTCCCTCTAGTTTGGCACGGCCTGGCGGGGCTCCCAAATTCTGGCCTGGTCCCCTCTTGGCAAAGGCCATTGCATCCGAAAGGGGCACCACGATGCCAGGCGATGGCACGGCCTCCCTTCTTCCCAGGCTGGGGGGACCAAGAGTCGGAGAGCAGGGCTCCCTTGGGAGACGCTCCTCGGCCCATCCTCTTTTTTTTAAACTCCTTGGGTAGCTTCCCAAAAGGTACCGTGGGAAACCCATTGTTTTGCGGTCACATTTCTGGAAAAGGCGTGGACTTAAGATCTCCCCTCCTCCTCCCCCACCCCCACATCCCCAGGTACCTTGAGCGAGGTGGTCCTCCAAAACTTGAGTAGCACACCTGTGTGTATGTGTGTGCGGCGTGCCTGTGTGTTTACAAAACTCGGTGACTTTTACATGTTTCTCTCATGTCTTCGGCAATAAAATCTCCGGCCGCTTCCGGTCAGTGGCCTTCAGCAGCCACGGGAAAGGGAGCAAGGGAGAGGAAGAAAGGGGGGAGGGGCAGCCCTCCGGATTCAAAAGGGAAAAGGGAGATTGGGATTCCCCCCCCCCCACCTCTTTAGATCAAATCTGCGTTTTCCCGGGGAAGCAGGGGTCACCTGAATCACATCCAAACGTACCTGGAATTCCCCCTCTCTCTCCTTGGAGGCGGAGGGCTGCAGAGGCCCTAAACATTAAAATGGTCTTGCCTGGCCACCTAGGTAAACTTCCATGCCCCCCCCCCCCACCTCAATTGGACGCGGTGCATCTATCTACTCTTCCCTGTGCCTAGTTCCAGAGATTGGCGCTTTTCCTCCACTTTAAAAAAAAAAGAGGGCTTTAAAACAAAATACAGTTTTGTTTGGAAATGGTTTAATCCACACAAGTTACCTTCTTGCTGCTGCATTCTGGGTGGAGAGTCGATTTCAGGAGAAAGCACTTAATATATATATCTCTGACCCGTAGGTGTTTAGTGGGAAATGTGTAAGACCAGCAACAAGCTTGTGATAGACTCGGGCTTGGCCGTGTTACAGAAAAGTTGAGGAAGAGAAGAAAAAGATAAAGAGAGAGAGAGATCCGGCAAAGGCACTGAAGTTTATTTGATATATTTTTTTCCTCCCCTCTTTTCTTAATCCGTTGTGTCACCCGGCCTTGCCTGATCTAATTTAATTGAAGCTGAAAAGATTGACTCGCTTCAGTTACGTAGTGCAGAAGTCTCCAAACGTGGCCACTTTTAAGACTGGTGGACTTCAACTCCCAGAATTCTCCAGCCACCCGTGTCTGTCTCTTTTCTCTCTTAACCTCCTAAAGTGGAGAGAGATTGCGAGAGGAAGGGATGGCTGGGGAATGCTGGGAGTTGAAGTCCACCAGTCTCCAAAAGTGGCCAAGTTTGGGGGGGAACCCTGACGTTGTGGATGTTTTTCGGCCCTGCCGAAAAAGCTCAAACCGGTAAACAGCCAGAAGGCATTGGGGACGCCCAGAGTGGTTTTCCCCGCACGCTTGGCACATCGGCTGCTTCCAAAGTGTGCCCACAAGGCCCTGGGCATCAGTTTTTTTCCCTCCCCCCTCCCCAGCCCCTCTTGAAATGGAGCCAGGAAGGTAACAGATAAATCAGAGTTGGAAGGGACCTTGTAGGTCATCTAGTCCAACCCACCCCGCCCAAGCGGGAGACCCTACACCATTTCTGACAAATGGCAGTGTTTTAAACCTGAACCGTCTCTTACCCTCCAAATCCCGAATCTTCTTATATTCTGCTTTCTGGTTGAACAGGAAAACGGTCCCCGCCCCCGCCACTTCTTCCCAGCTAAGAAAAGTTTTCAAAATAAAATAAAATAAAATCCCTGCCCTTCTGAAAAAGGAGAACCCATATTTCCTGGGGAAAAGGATCCTGAGAAACACCCACATACATAAAACAGACCTAAGGGGGAAAAAAAAAATTTTTTTTGTTGAGGGAAAAGACTTCTAGCCTTTGTAAAATCCATATTGCACACTAGGACTATAAGCCATTGCTAGCTCATTTTGAATTTTAAAAAACGTGTACTTTTCTTCGGTTGTTTTTAATTATTATTATTATTATTATTATTATTTTCTCCTTTTCTTTCTGTGTGGGGGTGGGGGCAAGGGGGAGGGGGAGAAGTGATGCTTGAACTACCAGTGCGCTTTTTAAATGTTTTATAAATATGTATGTGTATATATATATATATATAAATATATATATATATAAAATATAAAATAATATGTATGCACATATATATATGTGTGTGTGTATATATATATATCTATATGTATATACCTATATATATAGATATATAGCTATATATAGGTTTTGAGACAAAAAAATAATAATGCGGAAAGTGAAAACAAAACAAAAAACCCGAAATCCTACGACAGGACGGTGTGCTCTGATTTTACTTGAATCTGGTCTTCTCAGCACCTACGTTATTAAGGACTGAATATTTTTCCACTTGAATTTAGTGCTACTAGAAATTTAATATATGTGTTTTATTTATTTGATTTTTTTTTTTTTTGCATGACTGATGCAAGGTTTGACATTTTCACTCAATAAAAACTGGAAAAAGCAAAAACTAAAAAAAACAAAAAAAGAAAACGGACAAAAAAAAAAAAAAGAAAAGCCCAGCTAATCTTTCGGCTTTCTACTTGGATTGTGGATTTTGTCTCTTTTTAACTGGTGACAGGGATCCTGCCTGGCTCTCTTTTTGGGGAGGGGGATGCGTGTGTGTGTGTGCGTGTGCGTGCGGTGGGGGTGCCCTTGAAAGCCAAGCCAGCATATTATTACCCATTTCCCCTCCAATGGGAAACCCTGGGGTAGCACTTAACTTCCCCCTGAAGGAAGCGGTAGACATGGGGAGGGGGAGA